GTCGGTAGCGACACTTTATTCCTATATAACAATGGTTTTGCTTGCACTTCCCAATGGTGCAGCGTGCTGAGATCGTCCCCATAGTCTGATATTATCCTTGATAAACCGACCGTAGTGAGATTTGAAACCGGTTCTCAAGGTGGGGTCGTTAAAGTTCTAATCGATGGACTTCTTTGCTCGGCCATATTAAGAAATAGTGTAAGTGTAGAGAATATTAAATGTGCTCGATTTATTAAGATATTTTATTTACTATCCTCGACGAACGTAATATTTCTTGACGAACTCACAAACATAAAAACAAACACTAATTAAAAATAACTTCCCTAACCATATAGTCGATAATCAAATTCTGCCAGCCATAAAAAACAAAATGAAACAAATAATAGTGAAAAACAAAATTATTTAACTATTCTGTAGGAATAAACTACATAGCAACCACAAACTATTTAATTTGGTTGATTTGTTTTTTTATAGCTTATGAACCTAACCAAAAAGACAAAAACATTATAAGAAACTCAACATATATACATACATATCAGTCACTTTTTCACTGACGTGACGTCGCTTCCCTCTGTCTTTTCGACAAATATTTTTTGTGGCAATTGTTCTAATGAGCTTTCATCTTCGACTGCATCAATTTAAGCGTGATACTCGATTGGCAATTACATCTCACCGTTTTACTGATGAACTAGTAAATGAGATTATTATGCTTGTAATTTCTATTGTAAAAAAATATTAAAAAATAATGAAAGCCTCAATAATAAAAAAGAAAAGGCCAACATTCAATAATATTAACTACGAATACGGCCACAATAAAACATCCTTATATCTTTAGAAACATCCACACAACCCATATATCCAGGTAAAAAGTAAATATAAAATCATCTTTGATAATGGCTAAAAGTATAGCCGAAAATGCTTGGAATTACAGAACATTTGGCCAGTTTATGCACACTCTGCGTCCAGAAAAGAAAACGCTTATTCGAACACACAAAAAAAAAAATGAAATAAAAAGCTTAATGCCTTGCTGCCGTCTTTAATGAGACATATATATTATATATATATATATATATATATATATATATATATATATATATATATATATATATCATACTTATTATAAAACCCAGATTGTGTAAGTGTGTGTGTGTGTCTGTTCGTTTATATATTGGATCGGATTTCTACATTTTTCAACCGATTTCAGCAAAACTACGGGACTACGTAAATTACCTTGCAGTGGTTCTGACGGCGCCCCAAATCGGAAAACACAATTGTTTTTGCACGAAATAAATTTGAAAACAGGATTAAGAGGCATCACTGTCGCGAGAATGAAAGGGGGACAACTCATATCAAGTAATACTTATTATAAAACCCAGGTTGTTTGTGTGTGTGTGTGCGTGTGTGTGTGTGTATGTTCGTTTATATATGGGATCGGATTTTCATTTTTTTCAACCGATTTCAACAAAACTTTACTTTTGTTTTTGGTAGTGTTTCGTATTGTCTTGCACAATTTTTTTTCTTTTATTTTTTACATTCAGAATGCTTTAAAAATTCCATTTACAAGACAATTGTTTATAATAAAATTCTATTCAATCGGTAGACTCATAACGATTGAAAACAATGTTTTTGTTTGAGTTTTGGGTTTGACCAATTCATAAAAAAAAAAAAACTAATTAAGACATGCATTGTCCGTCAACCTTAAACAAATAATCTTTGACAATTTTATTTTTTCAGTCTTTTATGATACTTGATCTATCTTACTGTTACATCCCGGGCAATGCGTGCTACTCGATTGCAATTACATCTCACCAGGCTCTACTGCTATGTATATATATATATATATATATTTACTGCTAGTACATATATATATATATATATATATATATATATATATATATATATATATATATATATATATATATGGGTAACAGTAAGCCTGCGTTAACCGGGGATGTAACATATATATATATATATATATATATATATATATATATATATATATAGGCAGCATATTTTATTCAAGCATATTTGGTTAAATAATTATTTAGGCGTATTATGTCTATTCATTTTAATTTTAATCCTTTTAATCTACGAATTAATTTCTTGGTGGCTGTAGAAAATTGATGAAGAAAAGTTACAAAAATTTCTTTCAAATAATTTTATTTTCTCAAGTACTTTCCATCTCATCTTCAAGGTTTTTATATCTATGGATTCGTTAACACGAAAAATTCTAAATATTTTTTCACCGCTATGCAAGGGAAGTAACTTATGTGATTTTTTTAAAAGATTTTTTTTTATTTTAATGTATTATTTTTTATATAACACTTTGCTACTACAAACATTTAAGAACTTTGTTATTGTAATCGTAGTTGATCATTTATTTTTGGCCGAAATTCTCTTATATAAAGAGCTTCGAGAATTTCAAGTTTTTGCTTATTATTATCATTACGTGCCCCAGAAATGTCAGCTGCCTCTTCCTGATATTAAGTGTTTCCTTTTTCTTTTCATTTTCTCAAAAACCTCGTCGTTATTCACATGTTCGGTCAATGGTATCTTCAGTAACTTTTCGGAGAACTACATTTCTGTTGCTTCAAGTTCCTTCTTCATCACTTGGGAAATTCTCCAGCATTCACTGTCATATGATAGAAAATATATCACGTAACAGTCCAGCAGCCTTTTCTTTGTTTCTAAGTTTTACCATCTCTTAATACTCTGCTTAACGTTTCAAATGCATCTTTCGCTATCACAATGCGTCTTCAGATTTCAGTGTTGAATTTTCCATCCTCTGTTAAAATACTTCCCAGATATTTAGATTACTGTGCTTCGATGATTTTGTTATCCCCAATTTGTAATTTATATTTTGGGCTGTCCCTTTTGCTAATAATCATGGTTTCTGTCTTCTTGCAGTCTATGTGTATTCTTTTCTTCTCGCTTTCATTTCACTACCTTCTATAGGAGCTTTTGCAATTTTCTTTCCGTGTCTGCTATCAACAGCGCATGTTGTTAAGACTGTGGTCGGCAATAGTGAATCATGGCAGGGCCTCAGAATTGCCTCGCTGTGCAGGTTGAATAAATCCGGTGAGAAGACACACCCTTGTCTTATACCCCTTTCTATTTTTGTATATCTACTGAACTCATTTTCTATCCGAAAATGGCCCACTAATGAGTTCATGCATCGACGCCCTAGTTCAATTTTTGGCAAGGGTGGGATCATAGGCTGACTATAAAGGAGTGCTGCTAATGATGTGAAACCTTGCATGCATTAATTTCATTTCGAACCAGAGCCAAAGACAATTTATGCAGTGAAACACTCTTCCTCACCTACTCCAAAGAAAGCCAAGATCGTTTCATCTTGGCTTTCTTTGGAGGGAATGTGATGGACCCCTTTTTTGGGGATGCAAAAGATATTGTGTTTATTGCTATCTTCAAGAGGGCCACACCATCAATGTAGAGAACAATGTCAACTTGGTGAGGCAGTTACGAAAGTATATCAAGACCAAACGCCCAGGAGAACTGACAAATGGAGTTTTATTTCATTAGGACAATGCTTCATTCCTTAGTTTCAATGACCGCTGTGCGTGATGGTGACATTAAACTGATTGATCACCCTTCCTATTCTTCTGATTTGGTGCAATCTGACTATCATCTGTTCCCCAACATGAAAAAAAAAACACTTGACTGGAAACCAGTATCGCAGTGATGATGGCGTTGATGATTTTTTTTGACCAACAGGATGAAAGCTTCACTAATGGGACCAAAACACTGCAACGGCAATGGAAAAAGTTTGTGGACCGCAAGGGGGAATGTGTTGAAAAATAAACCCTTCACATTCCGTGAGAGTATCTTGGTAAGCCAATGAACTTTTTAACCGAAACCTCATATATGAGCAAAAAGATCTTCTACAAAACAAATTAGTCGCCGACCGTATTGAGTAGGAGCATACGTTCGACTTTAAAAATGCTGCTTTAATTAAAATAGAAAACAATTTACTAAGGCAAAATATATAGAAAGTGCACTGATTGCTAAATCCCCCACGGTAAATTTGTACCCAGATTCTTACAACATAGATACCAGCCCGTGTAGAACCGCTGGCATTGAAGTTTCACGTTCCGGCTCCAGAGCCCCGGTTAATGGTATACATTAGCAAAAAAGAAAGAAAAAAATCCTAATTTCACACCAGGATTAATATTATTTCCATCTTTAGTACCTTCTAGTAGTCAATAACATATTCACTTTCAATTTGCTTAAAATATCACACACGAAAATACACACCATCAACGGGACATTATGTAAAGGAAACTGTAAAGAAAATAACGTCTTTATAACAACTTAACATTTGCTCAAACGATAATGAACTGGGCTAATTTATCATATTTAATCGGGAAATATGTAAGTACTTAACTAAGAGTTGCCGTTGCATAAGATTTTCTTACTCTAATTTCTTTGATATTAAATTTGATAAACAAAAATGGAGTATCTTTTATTACTGCTTAATCTTTCTTAAATTGATAACAAGCTTTTGGGAAAATATTAATATACAATTTCTTTCCGTTAACTTCATCAACAATATTTTATAACTAGCTTTCAGCAAAATATCGCGTTTAAAGATGAATAGGTTTTTGTTTTGTTTTGTTTTAAAACGGGATTCGTAAAGTCGTTCCTGCTTTTTTTAATTTCTTTTTTTTTTTTTTCCCAACTTCATGATTTTCTTTTTCCTTTGACTCTTTTTGTCAATGTCTCTTTGTGGTCTTCCTTTCTCTTCTCTTTCGTTCTCTGTGTGTCTCTCTCTATCTATCTAACTAATAGCGATATCAAAGATGATGTGAAGCCAGGGATGCTGTCGGTAAGTGTAATATTTTGAAAGAAAGAATATTGAAGGCAAGTAGGCTTTGCAAGAAAGTACTCGATATCAGAGACAGAGCATTAATACAAATACATTTTTTTTTCACTTAGCTGAGTGATGTTGTCTGTCTGTCTGTCTTTTTTCTGAGAGTTACGCGATGGCGTATTTTCCTTCAGTTTATCATCATTTTTCCCTTCTTCCTCTCTGTCGCTTTGTAACTTTCATTTTCTTTTCTTTCCCGATCACCCATCTTTCTCTCATTCAATCTCTCTATATATTTCTCTTTTATTCTTTATTTATCGTGTTCGATAATAAATCCTTTGTCTCTCTTTATGGTTTTACTTCTTCATCCTTTGTATATCTTAGTAGTCTTCCTTCTTCTTTCCAACTTCCTTCCTTTCTCTCTCTCTCTCTCTCTCTCTCTCTCATCTCATCTATCTATCTCAGTCTGTTCATTATCTATCTATCTATTCTATCATCTATCTATCTATCTATCTATTCATCTACTGCTCTATCTATCTATCTTAGACTGCTCCTATCTATCTATCTTCTATCTATCTGCTCGTATCATCTATCTATCTATCTATCTATCTATCTATCTATCTATCTATCTATCTCGAAATCTGAGTCTTTCTCTATGCCGTTCAATTCTTCCCTATGAGTCCATTCATCGTTTTCCCCTTTTCTTTCTGTGTCCTTTAGGTTTATCCTTTCTTCCCCTCTCTCTCTCTCTCTCTATATATATATATATATATATATATATATATATATATTATTTCTTTTTTTCTCTCTCTCTCTCTCCTTTTTCTCTTTCTCTCTCTCACTATCATATATATATATATATATATATATATATATATATATATATATATATATAAAGCTGGCCACTCGTATTCGAGGATACCCATCTACTAGGGCGGCTAGCCAATCCCTATTGCAGACGCGCACTCAGGCACATTTATGTTTGCTCAATACCCACAGAGCCCACCAGTGGTTTATACTGCAACTATACTAAGCAGACCTTAGTTACGGTTTCTGGGATAGAGCGTGTTATCTAGCATGATCAACAATTTGAACAAGGCCAGCACACTCAACCCCTCGGCTACGATGACTTGTTTCTTCGTGCTACCACAGCTGTCGACGACCCCCAAGGTTTCCGTCTACCCAATTTCACTGACAAGGCCTGGGTCAATCCGTCGTATGGTTTTCAGGCATTTTCCAAATGTGACGCACGCTGGAATCGACCTCGATCCATTCCGATAAACACCAGGAAGTGATTTACTAAGCATAACTTAGATGTGGCACAAGGCCAAAAGTATGGAGTGTCTAGTGAGGAGTGTAGTCACTACTCTGTCGTAATTGATCTCGCGAGACAAGCTTGCTAATCATTACACCGTCGGAATGCTCTTCTCTCTCTCTCTCTCTCTCTCTCTCTCTCTCTCTCTATATATATATATATATATATATATATATATATATATATATATATATATAAATATATAAAATATATATATATATATATATATATATATATATATATATATATGTATCCTCTTCATGGTTATCCTTCTTCCTTTTTTTTACGTTTTATTGCTCCTTCTTCGTTTGTATTTCTTGATTTCCTTACACTTTTTTTTCCTCTCTTTCTCCCTCCCCATCTCTCTCAAAGAAAACATTCTGTTATTTTCTTTTTTCAGAAACAATAACACATAAAACATTTTTATTAGAATATCGGGGTCAAGAAAAAACGTCCTTTTGACACACAGTTTTCTTTTTTTTTTTTCTTTTATTTTTTGTTCGTTTTTTGCTTAATCGTATGTTAATTTTTTCCAAATAAATTTATGTTAATGTTTTTTCAAGACAAGATTTTTTTTTTCTACGAGAAAATGATATTTTCTTACTTAAATGATTCAGGATTGTTTTTGAAGGCTTAAAACCCAACACTTAGCCAAATTTTTAATAATACTTTGCACCGGAACGGCAATTTATTCAACCCTCACGGGGTCTGTTTTCACTTGAGAAAATGATCACATCACGCAAATAGATTTTCTCATCAAATTATAATGGCACATGAATAAAACATAATTTCAGTGGTAAACAACACTAAATTTTTAAAACTTACTGATTATAGAGAATATATAACCTTCTTTGGTTCTAATACCATATCCTTTCAGGATGTAGGCTACACTGTTTCCTTCTTTTTTTATCATCAGTAAATTGACATGTCATGTCGGGTTTAAAAATAAGATAAAGAAAAACATACTCTGAGACAGCTTACTGTTGCTTTATCCGTGGATGCGAATTCCTCTTCCTAGACTGGTTGTGATTCAATGCTAGAGAATCCAGTCTGCCCTGTTATTTAACCCGTAGCGGGGGAGAGGACGAGAAAAGATGATTCATGCCATTCCCAAGGGAATTTGTGCAAAAAATTAAACTCGACTTGGTGATTCCGTTTTCTGCGACGATAACCTTTATGCTACCTGCATATTCTTTTATTTTACTGATAGTTTACCCAATGGAAAGCCCAAGGTCCTCACAAGGTAGAAGATTACTGAGTGAGATTACAATTGGGAGGGGGGGACAAAGGAACACGAAGGGAATCTGGATGGTTTGCCAACGTGAACACGGCATGGTGGGTCTAGCTGCGACGGTCCGAGCTAGTGGCCTTAAGAATGTATGTCGTCCGAACATCTGCCATAGCTGACGTTTCATTGAAGATCATGATTTAAACCATGGGGTTGACAACATCGGACCGCAAAGGATGTATGTTATGACCCGCTAACTTAACACCTGGACACTCAGTCAGTTATGTGCCATGCGTGATACACGCTTAGACAATCATGTATGTTTCGATACATGACTGACGAGGCAGATTTTTCTTGCAGTAGGTTGCCATTTCTTTCTGCGGTAGACCAGTTGCCATCCAAAGCTATAGAACCCAATCTGCCCTGCAATTTACTCATTTTCTTAGAAATCAAATTTCATTCAAATATTAGCACGTAAATCTGTTTGCCAATCAGAAAAATATTAAAGGCGTACTGAATAATGCGAAAATGATGGTCTCTTACACTAACTATCTATGAGGCTCAAAGGGGAAAAGCATGGTTTGCAGTGAGGACCGAACTCGAATTTTTCTTAATCAAAATTTCATTGTAAATTTGTTTTTCTGAAAATATTGAGACATGCTACGAAAATGACCATTTGCTTATGTAAGAGGCTCGGGACTCCCAATATGGGAACTCACTTTTCATATATAATTGTTCTAGTGAGACATAATGTTTTATTCGAGAAATAATCTTATTATTATAAAAAACGATTGTGTGTTTTGTTGTGTGTGTGTGTGTGTGTGTGTGTGTGTGTGTGTGTGTGTGTGTGTGTGTGTCTGTAACGTTTTATTTATATATTGGATCGGATTTCTACATTTTCAACCGATTTCAACAAAACTTCACAGCACTACAAAATTACCTTGCGGTGGTTCTAACAGCCTTAAAATGGGAAAAATACAATTGTTTTGGACAAAATCAATTTGAAAACACGATTAAGAGACATCGTGTGATTGAAAGGGACAACTCACATCAGGTTTAAAACCCAGGTTGTTTTGTGTGTGTATTCCTTTATATATGGGATCGGATTTCCTACATTTTCAGCCGATAAACAAAAAATTCACTTTTTTTTTTGGCATGTAGTGTTTCTTATTGTCTTACACACTTTTTTCTTTATTTTACATTCCATTTATAAGACAATTGTTTATAATAAAATTCTATTCAATTTGTAGAGACTGAAAACATTTTTTTGTTTGAGTTTGGGTTTGACCAATTCGTAAAAAAAAAAAAAAAAAAAATAATTAAGACATGCGTGTCCGTCAACCTTAAACAATAATCTTTGTCAATTTTATTTTTCATTCTTTATGATGGTGGATACTTGATCTATCTCTTACTGTTATATCCCTGGGCAACGCCGGGCTCTTCTGCTAGTATATACTAAAGTCGTTTAAGAACAAGGTTATGGTGATGTTTTTTCTACTGATATCGACAAATATTTCACCTGATGTGGAGAAGTTACAGAACAATAAGCAGAAACATGTGTCTTTATTAAATAATTTGACATTTCTAACTGTAATTTGTTTGTAGTAAGGCATTTGTATGTTTTGTTGATTGTGTTAATTATTATCAGGTTATTCCTGTACTAAAATAAGGAACCTTGTTTAAATAATATAACATTAACTTTGTTTTTTTCTTTTCTTCAAACATACAAACCAAGGCTGTCTTCTGGATGGAACAATCTGAGCTCGAGAGAATTTATAGTAGGACATTTTCTATCATGACCCTCCTCTGAGACAATACATAATTTTTTTTAGTCCGTTCTCTCCAAATAGTTTCCGTCGCCTGGTTTAAATGTTAAACTTTTTCCAACAATATAGGCTTCATTCATTCATTATTCGAGTCTGAATGACCAATTGGCAATTCTACGGCTCATGAGATTACTATTTAATAGGATTCATAGGGTTACAGAATTTCCTGAAGTATTTACCTGCAAATAAACCTGGAAGAATAAGCCAAACACAGTGCGATGTCTTCATACCTATTTCTCGAAGAGAAAAAGACTGGAAACGGCGACGCGACACCTTGAAGCAAAGAATGCAAAAAACTCCATAAAGCAGAAAATGCTTCAAGAAGTAGCATACTGTTAAAAATATTAAATTAACATTTGTTTTATTTAAACTAATTACATGCGGACTATGGTCTTCATCTTTGTTGTTGTCACAAGATGAGGACAATAGTCCTCATGTAAAGTTTGTAAATATAACTCCTCATCACAGAAATTCAAACAGAAAGTAATATTGTAAAAACGCTTGATTCCATTGGTGAAGTTGAATTAAAATGAATAAAAACTTGTAATTCCAACGAATAATTTATTGTTAAAACAGATATATTTCGGAAAGCTTTTGCAATCCTTGATCATTCTTGAGAAATAAATGAAACAGTCACTACATTGTATACGTTACATTTTCAAATTCGATTTATTTTGTACAGAATACAAAATTGTGGCACAAGGCCGAAAAGGGGAGGAGAATGGGGTTGAGACTGGTCGTCACTTACTATCCTATACCTAGCCAATCCGATTCACGACCCATTCATTCGTTACAATTGACACATTCACCACAAAAACACATCCATCACCAATCAATCCGCCATACACCATAATACCGGATACTCTCTTGGGGGACCTACAAAACGCAACATAAAAATTACATGATTTTAAAATTTTAAATACATAAAAATCTATAGATGATATATAAAAAGTGAGGGGAAGGAGATGAACCCCAAAACAAACTAAAATATATCAAAACAAACAAAATAAAGATAACTGATAACAAAAAAAAAATTCGATCAGATAGAGTTCGCGAAACATGCGTAAGCTGGAAGCGGGAGAATTGCATAAAGAAAGAAAGAAAGAAAGAAAGAAAGAAAGAAAGGTTATTTCTAAACCAGAGTAGAAAAATATACTCCTTCTCGTTCTTTCGTATTTATTGTTGAAGTCCAAGGTAGCTTAGTCACTGTTTCATTTATTTCTCAAGAATGATCGACGATTGCAAAAGCTTTCTGAAATACAGTGTAACCCGGATATAAGAGAAACCCGGATATAAGAGAAACCCGGATA